AGCAACGATCGATAATTATTTCTGATCAGTTTTACTAATTATAATTATTACTTCATGGAGTAACCCGGAGCAACCCGGAGCAACCCGCGGAGTACCAGTGATACATTTAACCCGAGTTAGGTTGAGTTGACCATTGCTCCGCTATAATATGAACCCAACCCAACCCATTATGTTCTATTAACAACCCTACTTATAATTACCACCAAAATTCTGGTCCCAAGGTGATGATTATATGCAGGTCTAACTGCATCACGTTTGCACGGAGAAACACCCGTGACCAGAATTTATCATAGTAGGTAGAAATATGTAGTCCTACGCTACGCTCTGGACAAATAAAAATAATTAAATAATAATAAGAATAATAATAAATAAAATAATAATAATAAATAGTATTAATAAAAATAATAAATAGTAAATAAATAAAAATAATAATCATTAATAAATCATTAATAATGTTATCTTCTGACATGTGATATTAAACATAAAAATCAAATATAAAAATTGACGAATTATAATTAGTTAATTCATGGATTTTTTTTGTGTGAGATTTAATTATAAAATTGCAGCATCAAGATCTTCATTAATATCTTGATATCGATTACAGATCTGATATCAGAAAAAAAAAATCAATAATCAGAAATTTGAGCTATAGTATTCCAACTATAAATATAGATTGCCTCATGAGATCTAATTAATTTCATAAAAGAACCAGACTCACTGATATCTTTAATAAATTCTTTAGTTCTCTTTAATGCTCTAACATAACTTTGAAAAGCTAAGTCATTCTCTTCTTTTTTTGTCTCTAATATTGTTTGGTTTGTAACATGTATACGTTCGCCAGTCTTCTACGTACTTTTTTATTGTGTCCAGCCTTTTCCACTAAGTCAATTATTTCTCGAAATAGGGATGTTACAAACAATAGGAACTAGATTTCTGCTATCCACTAATATTCGAGTTGCTGGATGAACTATTAATTATCAAGCATTCAGTGATCAACATATCTTTATATCTAGTACTTAAAAACAATGCTTTTGCATAATTTGGGGCTGTTTGTTTTATTCTGTAGTTCAACTAAATTGTTTTTGTTCATTTGTAGATTTATTCAGTGTTTCCCGTGGTTTATTTCAATAAGTCCCAAGATTTTCTCTACATTGTTCATGAGCATTTTTAATTGATGCTTTGTGTCTAAGTAAGGTCTCCAACGTTTGATATTTCTATGTTTATTTGAATTAGTACAATCTTTCGACCTACATGTATTATATACAGTATGTATTGTTTGGTTATTCTCTTTTTACACTATCCATTTTTGTTTAGACACTGTATAGTTATTATGCAATTGATAAATGATTATATAAAGATTTGATTTTTGGGTATTGCGTCAACATTATTGCGTCGATATTGTTTCTGATGTCTTGGAGTTCTACCCTTTCTGTTTATGTGGCCATTCTAATACTTTCTTTAGTTCAAGGTCTGATATCTGTTCAAATTTCACGTAGGCTTTTCTTGTATATCATATATGAGGTCTAACTGTTTTCCAAATCGTTTCTATTTCCAAATGGAACTTACATGGTCTTCTTGCCTAGTGGTATCTTGTGTGTTTTGCATAAGTTGATTATTGATACTGTTAAATTAAAATATTTTTCAATCTAATGTTTGATGTATCCATTCTATTTGCCTGTTGTATGTATTGAATAAGAAACAAGCTATTTATAAAATTGAAATTACTAAAATCTGGTCCGAATAATTCACAATATTTATATACCGCTATTCAAATAATAATGAATTATTCAAAAAAAAAATTTAATATTGAACCAGGTCAAATAAATAAAAATTTATAATCAATTCACATAAAAAAGAAATATTATAAAAATTTAATTTATTTTTTATGAAAACTAGAAAAATAATAAGAAATTTCTATAATAAAATATAAATTTAAGAGTTAATATCTAATATTTAGTTTTTGTTATTTATTGTTAAGTTTCGCTCATAACTCAACTGGTATCTAAATAGATAAGCATAATGTTCAGTTATTTTTGAACTTCCTTCAACATTTAACCAGTACTAAAAATTTAATTAGCCACGCTAATAAAATAAAAAATTTATTCATTCAAAAAATTTTTGAACTCTTATATACTGTATATCAATAATAAAAAAGTTTTCTAGACATTTCAGTTTTACGATTCTAAAGAAATGATGACCTCGAAGAAAATAATAATAATAAAAGATAATGTAATTGTAATAAAGTAAAAATCTACACAATAAATTAATCACATTTTATAGCATAAATAAATGTAAAACAATATTTTCTCTTTTGAAACGTTAAGTTTAAATAGATCAAATTTATAAATTTTTCTATTATAAAGATTTTACCCTTTCTACCGGCAAAATAGTTTATTTATTTATTGAGCACATCTTCAGGTTTTCCATAGCTTAAATAATTCGCTAATATAGAAGTAGAAAAAAAAAATAATTTTATTTTAATATTATCGTTAATTAATTTGCATTAAATATTTTAATATGAATTCAATTTAGTTTAATTAACATTAAATATTATAATTCATTGTCAAATTACATTAATTTAATATTTTAAGTATTGACTGAATTTAACTTTAAATCCGAAATTTATAATTTATTAAAGTTAATTATACTAATAGCAACGTACAATTATAGATATTCGCATAAACTGTAAAAAAAAAAAAATTCACACCGTCTGAAATTTATTAAGTGGAATTTGAAACTAGAATATAATTCTTTAAGTTAGAAACTTTACGGATGACTAAACTGGTTATATATAATATATACATATAATCATGAATAATCATGAAAATGAAATGACTACACATGATTAAAAATTAGGGGGAGCCTATTGTAAATGATAATAATAAAATAACAGTTAAAAATAATAAAATTTAAAATGATTAAGAAAATGAGTAGACAATAAAAAAAAAATTTATACATTACAAAGGGAATTAGTAGAATATTTACAAGAAAAAAAAAAGGTATGGTAAAATTAAAGTGAAGGAAAAAAAAAGTTATACTAACGAAAAATGAATTATAAAATTATTAATATTATTTAATGAAGTGGATTGGTTTCTTCCACTGTATAAATGGATAAAATGAAATTAATATAAAAAAATTAAAGAGGATAAGATGTAAATTCAAGACTTTGTACCTTCAATTATTTAATATATTTTGAATTGACATTCTATCTTTAATTCTTTTCTCTTTTCTTAATCTAGGAGAAAGATAATTTCTAATTAAAAGATCCGTGCGACGTTTCTCACTTCTTTTTGCATTGCTCTGATTAAGAATACGAGCAATTTCGGAAAATGATGTAGTTTTTAGAGATTCATAAATAGATTTTATTTTTGCCTTCTCTTCTTTGGTAAGTTCACTACGATCAACTATTGAATGTATAAAGTTTGAAATTAATTTAAAATAATTTAAAATAATTTAAAATAAAATAGAAAAAAAAATTTACTATTTGGATCAAGGTGATTGCAATATCTATAGTATTACACAGTATTATGGTATTATAAAAAAGAGAAGAAAAAAAACTTTAATTTACATTTTTAAAAGGTAAGATAATTAAAATAATTTTTAAATTCTTCTGACGTAATTTTACAAAATAATACCTCTCTCTCAGAGATTTAGAATTTCTATTCAGAAGAGGTTCTATGACTGCAAAAATGTTATGCCTATGATCATCAATATACATATTGTAAAATTTTGTTAAGTCCCGATCTTCCTAGATGTTTTGGAAAATATTATTTAGTCAAAAAAAAAAAAAAAAAAGATTCCCAATTTTTATTGCATTATTATTAATTACCTTTTCCGTAAAGCGTCCTTTCCGATATTCTTTAGTTTTACGATTATTATTAGTCTTGCCTGTTTGGGAAAATGTTCGGTCGGGTTCTCGTTCTTCCCTTTTACCAATTACCCCGCCTTCATGATTCACCCCCATCTTTTAAAAAATAAAGGAGAACAGGACTCCTTCGCAACTGCTCAGTTTAACAAGTGTTACGAGTGATATAAATAAGGAAATGTTAAAATTTGGCGAAGTTATTAGCTGTGTAGATAGATTTTTTTTTTTAAAGAAAGAGACAAATATTAACTAGATCTCACGTAAAAAACAATATTTATTTAAAAAATAAACCAATATCTGTAATTAGACATTCGCAAATAACCAATGATAATAAAAAGGAATAAAGGTGTTATATTATAAAGAGTAACCAAAATCGATTAAATAAAATAATTTTTTCTTTAATGTGAGATCCTGTGAAGCAGGAAAAATCTAAATGTGTTCTAAGCCAGACTTTTTATAGACTTAATGGTAATTTTTATTGAGTTTACAAATTTAGAGATGTTAAATGAAGTCCGGAGGTTAGAGAAAAAATTCCGACGACCAATTTTTATGTTTCACAATTCAGAAATTCATTTTTTTCTGTACTAGGTTTAACTAGGTCATATTAGAATTACAATTTCGGAATCAGAAAATTTAAGATAATGCAAACGTTTGGGCAGTAAGTCAAAATTTAAAAATAAAGTAATACTCGGAAAAAATGTTTTTTATATGTGGAAAATCTTTGTAACACCAGAAATAATCAAGTGATTTTTTTCTTTGTGTATACGATTCACCCCGTGATCATTATTTGTTTTATTATTTTTATTAATGAACATCTGACATCTCATGATGAAGCATATGATTTTTGTTGACATTGTTTAATACATTACATTCAAACTTTAATTTAAAGTAGTAGTGTTTGTTAGAGTCGTATAAAAAAAAATGAAGAAAAAAAATTAAAACACCAATATTATAAGTCATAATTATTAACAGATTAATCGTTCTACTTTAAAACTTCATAATCTTCTATCGTCTACTATAAGATTTCGGTAAATCCAGGTTCCCATCCAATAATATTATAAATTGCCTGCGATTCGAACTAGTGATTGTAACTTTTTAATCTAAACCAATGTTTAAAAGAGAATATAAATGTATCGGATTAAATTGTTTGACATTTGATAATGCAAATAGTTGATCATTGGTTACACATTGGTTGAAAATCCATCACGACTTCCACGTAAAATCAATTTAAAATTAAAAGGGATATAAGGTTTCCATTCTAATGTATGATCGATCCAACTAGATAATGACACATCGTTCCAATCAATTATAATAGATTTACATTCACCAAGTCTTGGAGGTAATATTTTATTATTATTATTATTATTATTATTAAGTGTTGAATGATTATTTTGTATAAAAATCTTTGTATTATTGAAAGTAAAATCTTTTCATATGGCATAATTTTAGTAAAAATTCACGATGTAACATTTGAAAAAATCATATCCAAGGTAAACATCCGTGTAAAGAAAATTCTAAAACAAGGAAACCTTTTGTCGTCCATTTTAAAAATATCATCATTAAGCATTCTAGTTTGAGCAATTCCCCTATCTAAGAGTACGTTTTAGAAGTGATACAACTAAATTCGGGAGATCTAAAAATAGAAATTGGATCTTTTATGTAATTGAAGTGAAACACAATTTTATAATTTATATAATTAATTTTATTGTAACTCCAAATTTTCATCCCAAGTTTCTAACGTGACATGATTTTTAAGAGTAATTTAATATTTTGTGAATTCAATGAATAAAATTTAAAATAAATTATAAAAATAAAAATAAATTATATTTGAATTTGAAAATTGGTTCAAAAACTTCAGACGAAATATTATTCTTTTTCAGTGAATATTTTGAACGTATTAACTCAATAAATCACGAAAATAAGTTGACCTCGCTTTAAGAACTAATGAATGACATGAAAAACTTTTCTGGAAATTCGCCAATAGTTATAGATACGTTAAAATCATTTAATAATTTTAAGATGTCTTGTGATACTAATCGAAGTAAATTTAATGAATCTGTTGGTACGTACCTTTACAACTACGAAAAATTTCGAGAGAATGGAAAAATGAAAAAGAATAAAATATATATTTTATATGTCTTTTTTCATTGACAAAAATTTAAGATATGAAAAGTTTATTTATTATGTAATAATACATTATTGAAATATAATTCCTTCTTTTCATTTCTATGTATAAAAAAAAACTTTATATATAAGGAAATAAAGAGATAATAAATATGGTTCAAAAATTTATAAATTTGCTTTAACTTTTTCAACGTTAATCCATCGTTGTGACAAAATTTTAACGATATTATTGCTCGACACGCATTCTGTTTCCATAGTCTGTTGTGTATAAAAGAAATAAAAATTAAAAAATAAATAAAAAAGGAATAAAAAATAAACAAAAATATAAAAGATATTAAGATATGAAATGAAGATAAGAATTATGAAAAGGTAGACAATAAAATCGATAAAAACAATAATAATAATAATTAAATTTCTTACCGAAATCAACGGTTCATAGCTATTCACGTAAAAGAAATTATCATCTAATTCTACTCTAGGAAACTCTTGATTGGGTATCAGTCGTGGATATGAATTCCAAACTTTACAATATATTGATGATCTATCAGTGAATATACGATCTAATAATTCATCACTCATAGAATGGGTAGAAAAAATTTTATATAATGTCTCGCCATTTTCTAATTTAGTTCTTGCTGCGAGACTTAGAAAATCAGTTTTACCACTATTGGTGGTTAAAATAGCTTGTGGAACTTCATCTGGTGAGTTACGTCCAAAATATTTGGGATTCAATCGTCCCGCAACTAATGAAACGTAGAGTTTGATATAAGGAACTTCTTTCATTTGTACATTTACGTTTATAAATTGAATTTCGGTAAATTGCTAAGAGTAATAAACAAAAAGTTAACAGCGAACATGTGAACAATGAGTAAAAATGAATGATAATTAATGATAATTAATGATAATTAATGATAATTACAATGGGAGCTGCCAAAATAACTGCATCAAATGTATTGACGCTTCCATCTTCAGTCATTATTTCGTATTTAATATTCCCTTCGTCATTAATAATTTTTGTAACCTTCGAAACTTTTGTATTCAATTTTAAATCCGCTTCGGAATCTTTTATAAAATTCTCAAATATTTGATGATTTCCACCTCGAACACATACAATCTTATTAACTTGAGGTGCCAAACTAATAAATGTTCCCATAGCATGAATCTCCCCTAAATTCTGAGCATAATTTACACGTGTCATAGGTTCCACGAGATGCTGGAGATAGAGTTGACCAATATTTTTTAATTCAGAAAAATAATATTGACCAGTGTATTGTTTTTCGAGGGTTAAATGAAGTCGCTCAAGTTCAGAATCAATACTATAGAATGGTTCAGTTAAGTCATATCCTTTTAAAAATTTATTAATTGTATCTTTTACAATGCGTTGAATTTTTATGGGAGTCCAACCATACGTCCAAAATAATTTAACGATATCCCAAAAAGTACTTGATGTTTCTTCGAACACAAATTCAGTACCATCCCAACTATATTATTATATTAATATTAGTTATTAATAGTTTTTTTTTTTTTTAAAAAAAAAAGAAAATTATTAAAATTATTAAAATTATCATAAATCAAATTATAAATAAATAATAATAATTTTCCATACACTGCAGTCTTTGCTTCGGGATAACCCTCAGTAAAACTAATTAGATCTAATCCAAATTTTTTGGATGCATTTAACAGATGATAATTAACATCGACGAAAATCGAAGCCCCCATTTCCACATCATATTTTGTACCGTTTCGCTCAAAGATTATAGAATTAGCACGACCACCAACCACAGATTCTTTTTCATAGACAGTAATAGAAATAGGAATAGATGTATTCCTAAATGAATTTGAAAGAAAATAAGCAGCAGATGAACCTCCAGCTCCAGCACCTATTTTGAAATAAAAAAATTTTTTAAAAAAATTTGGAAAAATTTTCGGATAAAAAATTTTTTTTTTGATTTACCAATTATTCCCACTTTTTTAGGACCAGTCAGTAATTCGGAAAATGGTACTTGATAAGGAATTTCGAAAGATCGAACATGAATGATTAAATGATTTATTAATAATATCAATAATATTAGTATCGTCAGAAATTTTTGGATTTTTGCAGAAATCATAATTTTTGAGAGTTTTGAAAAAAAAATTTAATTAGTGAAATGACATGACATGACATGCTAAATACAAACGATGATTGAATTATTACTAATATTGTATTTATTATTGTGCATAATATTTTATCTAAGTTAAGATTATTAAATTAAATTACTCTATTTTGAGGGAGTTTACGGGCAATATTCATTGTAACAATAAAATGTAATAAAAATAACTACGGAAACCGTTTTGCCGGCGACACAAATTTTGACCAATAATAATTGTATTACGGATCACATGTTGTGCGTTACAATGTCCTCCAGACAATGTAATAAAATATAAAATAAAATAAAATAAAATAAAGTACATTATATACAAGTTTTTATAAAATTAAAAACGAAAACTCTATATCACACCAGTGGTGTTTAACACCTTATTCTATACCGCAGGGGTTAGGTTTAGGGTTTTAGGGTAGGGTATTTATCACCGTGTGTCACATCCTTCGAATATCGATTTTTATTAGATATCTTAGGGACAGACATGCGAAAAGCATATTACATTCCGTACACCTAATATTTATCACGCGCGAAATAATTTCGATCACCTGGATATCATGTGTCTATTATTTAAAATCATGAGTTTTATTTCATTGGTTGATAATCACACAGGTGTGATTTAGCAATGTCGTTAAAAAATATATACAAAAAAAATAAAAAAAAATAATAATAATAATAATAAATAGTTTAAATATCAAATATCGTCTTTATTATCCGAAATTTCATTATCCGGAATTTCTTCATCATCTTCATCATCATCATCATCATCTTCATCTTCTTCAGAATCTTGATTCCAAGAATGATTAGGATTTCTTACCATCAAATCATCATCTATAATAAAATGAATTAATAAATATTGTATATAAATAAAAATATCATGTGATATATAACAATAGAAATAATAATTACCTATATTCTCACGTACTTGTACATATTCTTCTCTAATTTTATCTAACCATTCGTTTTGAGATTTAACAACTTCACTTGAATCCTTACACATTATATATTTGTTTAGCAAGTCTCTATTTATCAAATGATCAAATAACCAAATAATAAATGATCAAATAATCAATGATCAAACAATAAAATTATTAAATTAATCAAATAATTATAATATATTGGATTATTTTTACCTACCCATTGACAGTAAAGAAAGAGTGACCCCATTTGAATTTTGATAAAAGTTGTTGGGCATATATTGGAAATCCTGCATAAATTATAAATATAAAAAAAAGAAAATCTTTAAATTAGAAATTTTTAATGAAGAATAATTGGGTTAATTTAGATTCATTAAATTATTTTATTTATTTTATTTAATTTTTTTTAACCTGTTATATAAAAACATGCAGCGAAAGCCTCAACACAATTTAATTTCCATGGACGACCATAATTTGTAGGATTAGTTGCAATTAAATAAGGCACTAGATAGATATATAGATAAAGTATATAGATAATATAGATAGATTGTTAAAGATGAAAAATTTAGTCTTACATAAAATAATTTTAATTTCTAATAATTATTTTAAACTTTACACTCACATAATCGATTGTTTGGTGATTTTAACTTGGTAAATGGTATATCATCTAATCTTGCCCACGAACAATCAACAACTGCCAATCCATATTTTTGAACAATTGATCTATCAGCAGGTGAAACTGCTTGTTTTCCTTGTGGACTATTTACATAAAAAAATATTATTATTAAATTATTATTATTTGATTAATTATTAATTATTATTATTTGATTAATTGTTACTTGATTAATTATTAATTATTATTATTTGATTAATTGTTACTTGATTAATTATTAATTATTATTATTTGATTAATTATTATTTGATTAATTATTATTTGATTAATTATTAAATTATTATTATTTGATTAATTATTAAATTATTATTTTATTTATTTTACTAAATTATTAATTTATTAATTATTATTACCTTAGAGTAATTCCTTGAAATTTATTAGAAACTCTCAAAGTTTTTACAATTCCTAATCTAGAAAGTTTTTTTCCAGAACATTTCTTAGGATCACATTGTTCAAAATCCCACATACAAAGTGGCATCGGAATTCTATTATCATTATTATTTGAATTATTATCATTATTTTCATTGTTTTCATTATTTTCATTATTATCCACTTTGGTAATATTTTAAAATAATAAAGATTAAAGATTAAAAATTAAATAATAATCGTTTTAAATAATTATAATAATAAAAATCATATTATCATTTTTTACCTTCATTTTCATTATCTTTGTATTTGTCGGAATTGAAAATATCATAATCTTCGAAACTAAGTTATTATTAATAACCAATTTTATAATATTTTATAATGTCAATACAGGAATAAATAATAGTAAACACAATATAAATTATTTTACCTATTATTTTCTTTATAACCTCTTAACTTACCACGAGTTTGCCTTTTTCCTTTACGTTTTCCCATAATTTTCAAATTAAAAAAAAAAATAAAATTTTTTTGGAAAATTTATTGGACTTATCATGTGACCAAATTATTTAAATGATAAAAATACGGTATATTAATACATAATGGTATACGTATAAAATATTTAAATAATAAAAAATACGGTATATAAAATATTGAATCAAAATTTTTAATTTAAAAAAAATAAATAAAAAAAATATGCAATAATGAATAAATAAATTTTAGTTTTGGCATTATGAGCTTTAATTTGAAGGACCAGCGGCCCATATTCTTGAATCAACTAATATTTTCTTAGAAATCTTTTGGTCGATATCCTGAGACTATAGCAAAAGTTAAATCTGAATCATTTCCCCTATAAATATATCTGATTTTATTATTATAATAATAATAATTAAACTTACTTCTTGCAACCAATGTACTTTATTGCTATTTTAATTATTAATATGTTTAATCTAACCTTTCGTCTTCCGGATCTTTCTAATATTTGTTTTTCTGAATTCCATTTATTATAGTGTCCAACTTTCCATATTGATGTATAAATGATAGCATATCATTCTTCTGTCAGATGTCCTATATTCTCAAATTGATCACATTAATCCAAATCCATGTTCAATTTCTGAAATTATTTTATTAGATATTTACGAATACAAAGTTCAAATTCAAATTCTGACAATTATTTTCTACTAACTTTATACCGATTTTCAACTTATCATATATTATCTGTGTTTCATAAAGTAGAAATTTCGTTTCATTTTTCCGTGAGAGATGAATCGATTTATTTAATAAATTTTATATACATATAATTTATCGTTTAATAATTTAATTGCAAATAAAATATAATATAAAATTACTGTGGGTTAAGCTTTTCTTTATTTAATGTTAATAATAGATAGTGATTTATTAATAGGCTTCAAGCGTAGGAGTTAAAAATTAATATGTATAACTTTCTGTGTATATTTAATTACTTGCGCAAAATTTATTTGTGTGAAATATGATGGACGCAGAAGGGATAAAGTTAGGGAATAAGATTTTAGCGTGTACTTTAATCGCAGGGTTGATAGTAAAAATATTATAAATTTACGGAATAATTAAATTATTTCTAGACCATTATTGTCAGTATCCCATTTTTGTACATTTAAAAAAATTAAATATCTACCAAATCAAAAATCATATTAAATCAAATATGAGGTTAAGTGTATTTAAACTAAGTAGGTATTATATATAAATGTGACAAATAGTATTGGTGATAGTAAAATGTAACAACCCTAAACGTAACACAAATCCTAACCCTAACTTTGAAATAATAGATAATAAAATATATTACAGGGGCGGGGAATTTCCCTTCACTAATTGAATACAAATAAAGGAGATATCAACGTGACTTCGCAGTTAGTCTACAACTTATTGGATATGTTGAAGTGATGGTTTAGATTCATATTATTTTAATATTTGATAATATTTTGATAATGCATAATGCCATTGAATCAAAATTGTTAATAAATTTCTAATCATAAATAAATAAAAGTTTGGCGTGAGCTTGAATTTGAAGGACCAGCGAACTCGTATTCTTGATCAACTAAAATAATAAAAAAAAAATAATAAAAATGAAAATAAATAAAAAAATTATGCAAAACATATGATGAAAAAAAATGTTAATGAAATAATATTAATTACCACCAATACTTTTAAGATACCATTGTTCCATTTCTATAATTTGCATCATAAAATATAAATTAATTAAATTTGCATCATAAAATATAAATTAATTAAATTTCATAAATAAAATATAAATATATCATTCAAAAAATAATTTTACCTTCGGAAACTTCAAAATCCAATTGTTTAGTTTTATAAGCTATACATTTAAATAAATAAATAAATAAATAAATAAATAAATAAATATATATATATTATTTTAATATGAATTTAAAATAAAGATTTCATTAGGAATAATAAATTGAGTTTATTTTTTACCTTGTTTTTCTTCTATAAAGATGAAAAAAAAATCAATTAATTAAAATATTAAAATAAAATTAATAAAGAAAGATAAAATTTGTAAAAAATATATTTACCATCGGTGGCGCTTTTAGGTTGGATGGAAAAATTGAATGTATATACTTTACTGGTATGAATTTTATAAACTTTGCTTCTTCTGCTTTCGTTGAATTGAGTATTTTTAATCATTTGCTTATCTTTATTATTTTTTGTAAAATTTGATTGGAAGAAATTTTTTATTTTTGATTTCAAATTTTTAGATTGAATAGATTGTTCTTGTGGTTTATCCATTTCTTCATATAATAACTTTATTAATAATTTCATTTTTCTATAAATTGTAATTGCATCAGGTCTATTATCAGGATTAGCATCCCAACATTGTTTTATCAAAGTTGCATATTCTAATGGAATGTTTTCATAGGTCGTTGGTCGATATCCTGAGACTATATCAAAAGCTAAATCTCTATCATGCTCTCGGTCACCAAAAGGAGTTTCACCCGTTATTACTTCCCACATTAAAATACCAATACTATATATATCTGATTTTGTTGTATAAAGTTGTCCACAATAAACTTCCGGTGCAATATATGGGAGATTCCCATATATACTATTTAATGGTTTGTCAACTGGCCCGCTCAATCCTAAATCACTAATATACCATTGTGAATTAGGTGCATAATATAAAATATTTCCCGAGTGTAAATCTCTATGCACTATATTTTCTTTATGAATTTTAACCAAACTATGTGTTATATTACAAATAATTTTATATTTTTTTAATAATGTAAGTGCATGATAATTAACTTTTAAAAAATGTCTTAAATCATCATCATAATATCGTAAAACCAACATATAATCATGAGTACTTGGATCTTTAGTTAATCCGTGACATACAACAAGTCTTTGAAAAGTATTATCAAGTGTAAAACTTAGTGTTACCTAAATAATAATTATAAATAATTATAAATAATTAAAATAAATAATTAAAAATAATTAAAAATAATTATTAATAATTAAAAAAAATTATAAATAGCAAAAAAAAAATATTTAAACTTACTTCTTGTAACCAATTTACATTACTATTATTTGAATTATTTAATCTTTTAAGAATAACTTTTTGTCTTCCAAATCTTTCTAATATTTGTTTTTCTGAATTCCATTTATCATAGCATCCATCTCTCCATTCTGCTGTATAAATGGTCGCACATCCTCCTTCCATTAAATGTTCAACATTCTCAAATTGATCATAATTAATCCATTCGATGACGTATCGGGGCGAAACAATTTTTTGTTGACATCCTTGAATTAATTCATCAATTTCATTATTTTCGGATGTCCAATACACAAAATTATTTTTTAAATATTTACAAATACAAAATTCACAATATTGAGTTGCTTGATGCCAATTCTGACAATAGTTACATTGCCGTTTTGCTACTGAATTATCACCAATTTTTAATTTATCATATACTTTCCGCAATTCATCTAATAAAAATTTCTTTTCATCTTCTGTAAGAGATGAATCATTTTTAATAATATTTTTTAGATATCCTTCTTCCTGAGAAATTGTTTTATGAATATTGTAGTCTAAAGATAAGTATGCTTTATCCCAAGCTATTCTCAATTTCTCATTCACAACAATTTTTTGAGTAGCCATTTTTCTATTTCAATTAAATTTATTATGTATATATAATATTTATTTATAATTTATTGTTTTAATAATTTAATTAATTTATTTGTAAATTACCGTTGGAGTTATTTAATTTTAAATAATTGACAAGGTTATTGACTTTAATTATTCACTAGTAACTTATACATACACACACACACATATATATATATATAATATGATATGATAATAATAAGTAAATAAAGTAAGTCAAAGCGGTCAAAGCGTATGAGTTAATGTATATTTTTTTAATTGATGAACAAAATTTAGGTGAACACGGAAGAGATAAAAGGTTAGAGAATAAAATTTTAGCGTACAGAGTTGATAGTAAAATATAATTTTTTGATTAAATAAAATAACTGTTCTGGTAATATATTTTACGGAGTATTATCAATCATTGTTTGATTTGTCCTATTACCTGCCTTTTTCTTGGTTTGTAGTTTTTTTTGTGTTAATTTCTTGATTATTTTTGTTATTTACGAATTTAATGAAATGCCGGGGTTAAGATAAAATGGAATCTGTGATTATTTTTTTAATAAAATTAAATGTGATACAACATATTTTTTGATTTTAAATTCATGCAAAATTTCCGAGATAAATTTAAATTCTGTAATTAATGACCAACTACTTGGCTACTTAGCATAATCTTCTTTAATATTACTTCTGTCTGAGATTGAAGAGAAAAGTAATTAATAAAATGCCATTTTCACTTTTTAATAAAGAAAAATGTGGTTAATATTAAGAAATAAATGTGCTTAGACAAATGACTTAATTATTATTAATATATTTAAACTAATTCTATTACTTGATTACGAATTCTTCTTCTCGAGAAAGAATATAATAAAGTATAATGGGCTTAGAAGAAGCCTATCACGTTACAACATAATTTTTCGAAACAAGAATACTGGGGATTCTAATAAAATATTATAAAATCTTGGTGAATTTTTCAGTTTCTTCACTGAACTTCATTTGAATAATCATATTTGCTATATTCTATTGATATATTATTCCATTGAGCTTTATAGACTTTTCCAAACCCAATAATATATATGTCTTGATTTTCTTGAATTAATTTATTTCAAGCGTGGTTTACGATTGGACCTACGACTATCATTGAAATAATATATATATCCATATTGTAAATACTCATAAATGACGTACTTCAAGAGTATAAATTGTATTAACAATAAACAGTTAAAATATTCTGGATAGAATATAAAGAAATTTCAATTACGTATTTACAATTACTATTAACATCCAAAAATACGGAATATAATTTATTATTACGTTATCAAAGAATATGTAATATATAAAATTTATCATGATGATTTAATAACCTTTTCATTTCATTGAATTACGTCACGTATCGTAATATTTAACTTCTAGTTAGGTTATTGATCATATGATTTTAGTTGTGTGACGAGTATATAAATACAATTGATTTTTTCTTTAATAAAAAAAAAAAATAAAAAATATTATGAGTCAACAAACGTCTTTTCATAGAATTGATAGATCTGTTAGTACGCTTTCATTTTTTAATACACCAAAACAGTTTCAAATGTCAACCAGTAAACTTCCGAATACATCAACCACAACAGCTCCGACAACTCCAACAACCCCAATAACTCCAACATCAACCACAACCAACACGACTGTTACAACACCAACGACACCAACAACTCAATTATTTCAAAAAATTCCAAAAATTCAAAATTTAAATTTAAATCAACCATTAAATCCACAAAATCCATCAAGTCTTACACAAAATATTAATAATTATAATAATAATTTTAATCATTCTAAAATTGATGATGAAAATAATTTTGATCAAAAAAGGGCCGTTCGATTAGAAAGAAATCGTATTGCAGCCAAAGAATGTCGTGAAAGAAAGAAAGCGTATGTATCAAATTTGGAAAAAAAGGCAACTCAGATGGAAAAAGAGAATACAATGTTACGGAAGAAAGTTCTTGAATTAAAAGAGAAATTAGAATATGCTGAATCTAAAGCTTCAGAAAAAGATCAATTAAATTTAACGGTGCAAGAATTAAAAGCGAGAATTGAAATTATGAGAAGAGGTAGTAATATTGAGTGATGATGATGATTATTATTATTATTATCGTTATTATTATTATTATTATTATTATTATTATTATTATTAGTTCGTTGCAAAGTAAAAAAAAAAATGAAGAAAAATATAAAATAATAGAATGTTGGAAAAATGAATAGATTTAAAAAATTTTAAAAATTTCAAAAATTTATAGTTGATGGAGTTGATTTTCCTGTTTCTTTTTATTTGTTCTTAAATTATTTAAAAAAAAAATATGAATATATGATATATATATTATTATATATAAGTGCATTGAGGGAGATTATTATTTTTTTTATGCTGAATAAATTATTTAAAATGTAATTAAAAAGATTCTTTTTTCTCTGATAAAAATATTAATTTAATAATTTTAATCTAATAATGATAATATTTACAAGTGTAATTTTATTCGCAATTATAGTTTTATCGCATCCGAAAGAATTACGAACTGAAAGATAAGACTGAAATTTAGTGACAAATTTTCTCTTTCTTTCTTTTTAATTTAAATAACATACAAATATATTATTAAATTAATTTAGGTTGCTTTATTTCATCGATTCTAAATTTTTCATTCCATAAAAAAAATTAAAATTAATAATTAAAAAACCTTCCTTTATACAATAAATATTTTACACTGAAAACAAAAAATTTATAATTTAATAGCTAAATAATTGTATCTTATTTTGAATATAATTCAACTCATTCTTAAACTTGTAGATATGTTTTTGAATTTTGTTGACATTGAGAAAACCCGTAAACTCAAATCCTAATGTTTTGATTTTCGTTTTGTATTCCGAATTTAGAAATGTCTTTAAAACTACGTTTTTAACCATTTATAGTTTTTTTTTATGGTTAAATTTGTTGTACAAATTGTTATCTTGAGTAACATTATTAAAAATCTATAATTATTACAATACGCAAACTTAAACATCACTACTACCAAAGTTCGAAATAAGGAATTTAAAAATGGATAATACAGCATATCCAGCATTAAATGAATTATTCGTATTTTTAAATACTACTCTCACAAATATTTCAATATTTTATTCAAGAATTCCGGGTTCGGGAATTCTTTTAAAATATATTAAAAATTCACATCAAAATGATCCCTTTCGTACAGTTTTGGAAGTTATGTTGTTAGTTTTCGGGATTATATATCTCTATAAGAATAAATATCGAACAGATAATAATTTTATTGAATTAACACCAAAGGTATATATATATATATTTATATATATTAATGTAATTGGATGAAATTTTATGAAATTTGATGGAATTTGATGGAATTTTAGGAAATTGAAGATTTAGTTGAAGAATGGCAACCTGATCCATTATTACCCAAAATTACAGAAGAACAAAAAAGAGAATTGGAAAAAGTTCCTATTATAAATGGGTAAATATTTTATTGATTAATTATATTAATTTTATTAATTAATTAATTATATTAATTATAATGATTTATATTTATTTATTTATTATAGTCCTACAGGTCCAAAAGTTAAATTGATGAATGGAAAGACAGTAATGAATTTGGGAAATTTTGATTTTCTTGGATTTTCGGTTAATGAACATTTAAAGGTAATTAATAATATAATAAAATATAATAATAATAGATTATAATAATAATAAAAAAAAAACAAGAATAAACTATAATATGTGATGATAACATTTTTATTTAGGAAAAAGCTATAGAGACACTTCGTCATTATGGAGTTGGTTCTTGTGGTCCTCCGGGATTTTATGGCACAATTGGTATTTAATTATTATAATTATTTGTTATCTTCTCTCAATCAATCATTAATTTATCATTAATTTAATCATTAATTCAATCATTAAATTTATTGATACTTAATCATCATTTAAATAGATGTTCATACTGAATTTGAAAAAAGATTATCGGAATTTCTTGGTACTGAGGGAACAATATTATATTCTCAGGGATTTTCTACTATTGGATCGGCCATTCCATCATTTTGTAAAAGAGGTGATATAATTGTCGTGTAAATATCATTTCTATTTATTATTTATTTATTATTTATTATTTATTATTTATTGATTATATTTATTATTATGGTTATTCATTCAATTACTTTATTATTTTATTTTATTTTATTTTTTTTTAATTAATATGATTAATAGTGATGAAGGATGTAATTTTGCAATTCAAAAAGGAATTCAAATTTCTCGTTCATTTATTAAATGGTATAAACATAATGATATGAAAGATTTAGAAAGGATTTTACAGAAAATTAAAGATGAAGATATTGAGGTATATATATATATCACATATTATTAAATGATGTATGTTTATATTTGATTCGAGGTAATCACGCAATTCAGTTAAATAATAAGTTTATAATAATTATTATAGACGGGACGACGATTAACTAGAAGATTTATTGTAACTGAAGGAATATTTGAAAATTATGGTGACATTTCTCCTTTGCCTAAATTGGTATGAATTATATTAATATTTATATTTTTATTATTTTTATTATTATATTTTTATTTTTATTTTATTTTATTTTTATTTTTATTTTATTTTATTTTTTTTATTTTTTATTTTTTATTTATTTATTAATTTTTATTGTATTCAGGTTGAACTAAAAAAAAAGTTCAAATATCGACTCATTCTTGATGAAACATTTTCTATTGGAACATTGGGTAAACGAGGTGCAGGATTAACTGATTATTTTGATATTAATGTGAGTTATTTACTATTTCTCATTTATTATTATTTATTAGTTTATTAATTAATTATTATTTGCCATTTATTTAATTATTAATTATTCTATTTTATTAATTATTATTTAAATTATTATATATTATTATATTATTATCCAAAATAGCCACAAGAAGTTGATATGATTGTAGGTTCAATGTGTCATGCATTACATTCTTCTGGTGGGTTCTGTTCTGGATCATTTGAAATAACTGATTATCAGGTAAAAAATATTATTGTTATCATAACAAATATATAAAATATTTAATAATCCGTATTATTACTTATTTATATATAATATTACATGATATTATATAATAATGATTTTATATATTTTTTATTATAGAGAATTTCAGGCCCAGCATATGTTTTTTCAGCTGCTTTACCAGCAATGTTGGCTGTTTGTGCAACCGAATCACTTCTTCATTTATCTCGAAATCCTTATCTTCCTGCTACAATTCTATCAAATACGAAATCCTTTAAAAATGTATTGTCCCACGTTAAATATATTAAATTGGAAGGTTCTCTAGATTCTCCAGTTTTTCATTTGAGATTAAATGAAGATATTATAAGAGTTGGTGATTGTGATGAAAAAGATAAATTACTTCAGGAAATTGTTGATGAGGTTTGGAAATATTTTAGAATTAAAATTTATTTAAATTATGTTCAAATTTGTACTTATTAATTAATTTTATTATTTTTATTTATCATTATTAATTTATTCATTATAGGCAATGAATAACGGTATTTTGTTAACTAGAGCTAAATATTTAAGGGCACAAGAAATTTTTGGTGCTGAACCCAGTATTCGAATTTGCATCACCGCTAGTTTTACCAAGAAAGAAATCGAAAGAGCTGCTTCCACTATTAAAAATGTTGTTAACAAAGTTCTAAAAAACAAAATTAGATAATTATTTAATTATTTATATTTTATATTATTTATTTTATTTTATTTTATTTATTTATATTTTATTTATTTTTTATTATTTTATATTTTTAAATTTAAAAGTATAATTTAATTATTTTTTGTAACTTTATGTAAAAGTTAATTAATCCTAAAAGTATTTATTTGTTTTTTTATTATAGATAATTTTTTTTATTATTTTTATATTCATTTGGTTTATTTTGTATTTAGTATTACATATTGAATTATTAAAAGATAAAAAAAAGTTGTTAATCAATTTATTCAATCTTTTCATTCATTTTTAATATGCTCATGTGACTATAACTAGAATAAATAAATACATATATAAAAATATAGTTATAATATTTATAATATTATAAAATAAATTAATGATATAAAAATGATATAAAATAATACTAAATGATATGAAATGATATGATATAAAGTTGCTGCTGGTTATCAAATTAACATTAATTTTAATAATATTGGCTCTAAAACAAGGTGTAATATTATAATATCAAAATGTTTGAGAATAAACTTTTTTTGTAATACAAAAATCTGCATAATTTTAATAATTTTATAATTTTTGAATACTAATATGGAAATTTTAATTAACGTTAAAAACAACAATTGAATAAATTTATCAAAAAAAAACTATGCGAACTATGAAAATATTTTAATTCTCTTTATTATATTCCTTCATTTTACCTGACATTTATCAAATTTCCAATTATTAAATTTTTATTATTATTATTTGGAAAGCTAATAATAATAATACCTGATAACAATAATACATATTATATAAAATACATAAATGTATAAAATGTATTAAATGTATAAAATGTATTAAATGTATAAAATGTATTTAATGTGTAAAATGTATTAAATGTATAAATTTATAAAATATCAGGTAAATTATTTGATTTAAGAAATCTTAGTAAAAAAAATTAATTCAGAAAAATTTGAAATTTTGAAATTTTCGTAAATTTAACGTCAATATTAAAGGATTGGGTAATTTGAACTCTTATGTTCTTGACATTTTTTATGTTTTTGACATTTTTCACAATGTTCTGACATATGACGTTTAGGAGGAAGTTTGTCCTGATTTCTCCTCCTTAAGTGTCGATAACTGGTTAACTTAATATCTTTAATATCATGATTGGTTTTACAAGTTTTACAATCTTGATTGAAATAATCATGCTCTGTTAATTCTGATACAGGAGTGATATTTTTATATAATTCTAGTGAAATCCAAGTATATGCACTCGCCCACTCATTTTTACACTCACATTTCCATAATCCATAAACGCGATACCACTTTTCTTCATATATAAGTTTTTTAATAACTAATGGATATTCTTCCAAGTTATTGTCTGAGTTACCACACTTTTTACATTTTTGTTTGGCGTAATCTCTTTTGGTCAAGTCTTTAGCACTTATTTTATTTTCAACCTTAACCTTGGAGACCCAAGTCGCCGAACTTTCCCATACCGCGTTACATTCGTTATTAGCACAAGACCATTTTGCCGGAATACATTCGCGGTCTATTTTATCTTTCTTTCGTGTTCTAGTCATTTAGTTGGGAGAGAAATATTGCTCAGGTAGAAATGTGAAGCTAAAACCCAACCCATTGTATCTACTTTATAGTAAAAAAGTTGGTTGATCACACGGATATCAACTCCTGTGTGTGACAATTTTATAACTTTACGATATAACTCTGGCATGTAACCTTACCATATCATATCATATAGCATTACGTCATGAAATAGATGTAAAGCAATTTCCGTTATTTATTTAATACAATTTATATCAATATATAAACATATATATCTTTCTCTCGCGATTAAACACGTAAAAAGTTATTTACAACCTTAACATTTTTATCGATTCGCTAAACCATTATTATAGGTTAGGTTACATGGAGTATTAGACGTGGATAACACGTTAAAATAGCCGGGGTCACGGGGGATGATAGAGGATGATATGTGTCACTATTTGGATAACTGCTTATTCAGCATGGTACGAAAACGTTTTTTTGGATGACAGAGGATGAAGGTAAACAAAGAGAAAAACTATAAAATAGCTGCGGCTGGAAAGAAAAAAAAAAAGAAGAGATTCCTTTTCGCCAAAAAGAACAAGAACCAAAATAAAAATATTTTACTTGATATTTCGAACAATTTTAATTT